TTCAGACCATCATAATCATGCATAACATAGAGCTATCATACTCGTATAGAGTTGCACATTTTTGTTTCTGAGACGTCCTTTATCATGGGATGGAGGGCAAGAGTACGACAGAGTGTGTGTGTGTGGGTGACAGCTCTACCTGATCAGGTCGCGGCCGTGTGTCTTGACGGCAATCCGTGGCGGTGGCTGCTGGTGTCAGCAATGCCTCCATGATGAGCTGGCCACGTCCTCGATCAGTGGAGTCCGAGGACTTCTCCAGCTCTCAGCAGGGCACGCCTACCAGCGGATGCCTGCCCGTTGCTAGGATACCACTCAGGATTCTGGCCCCGCCCAAGTGCATACCCTCACTGCCACCGCTGCCGGCGTTTGACTCTGTAAGCACAACAAACACAGAAAGTGAATCCTTTTCCAAAAAGTTCTGTACAGTTAGTGAGTATATCTACCATCTGCAAAAAATACTTTTGTGAATACCGATGCTCTTGTCACACGATTGCTGCATGAAAGTGTAGCAGGTGTAAACAGTGAAACACCGCACATCCCTGTGGATACTATTCCACTGAAAGAAAACGCTCTGAATCACACTTAACACTTTCAGGTCAGGTCCGCTCGTGTTTTTCTGTCTGCATGTTAATGTTAAGACAGCTCGGAGGGTAGTGAAAGTCTCAATAATAATTTATTACGTGTATAAGGTCTATTGTCCAGTGTGTGAAAGATCAGAAGATTTTGGCATCACATGGTCTAATCTTCATGAGACGATATGAGGTTCACTCTTGTGGTCTCAAGCCAACCTGCGTTATTTCGAGGAAGAGTCTTTGAAGCTGCGATATGAAAGCTAGTACTAAAGAGAGCTATGTGTATGTATGTACAGTATGTACTTCCCACACAACACACGGCCTCTCTAGGCCTTGTATACACGAGCACGGTTGCAACATTCCTAAAAATCATGTACATTACTTCTGGTATGGGTGGCATCTAATAATCGGTGTGTACATGGATTTCTCCTACTATGTAGATACCAAACAGCAGCTACACAGTAGAACCCCTTTATCTAGACACCAATGGGATAGAAGAAAACCTCCATGATAGGGAGGTGTCCTTTATATGAAGGGGTCAAATTACACGCATGAACCTTTCTTGAGGAAAGAAGTGTCCTTATTAGAGAGGTGTCAAGGTGTCATGTATTAGGTTCTAACCAGTTCCATCTCCACATACAGTACCTGAGTGATCCTGACACATTCCTCCACCAGCCCTTCCATCTCTTGCTCCCGTGGTACATGGCCACCACTGCTATAACCTTCACCAGACCATCGGGGTCCTTGCTGCCAGCGTCAGCCTGATCCGTCTCCCCTTCCTCCCTCTTGGCCACAAACATCTTGATGTTGTGGTTAGTCCAGCAGCCCTGTTTGGGTGAGCCAGTCTGGCGCCGGGTGGTTTCGTAGGAGGTCCCCGGACCAAAGGTCTGATAGATCCGGTCAGCCTGCTTGGCTCTGTCGAATCCTGAGACGATGAAGGACAGCTGTTTAGCAAAGCACCACTAAAATCTGGTCTCCCACTTAATGAATACTGTACTGAAATACTGACTAGACCCATTACGACCACCACGCAAGTCTGAGTCTTGCAAATAGGAATGTAATCTACTCCCCAGACCGCACGAGACTGAGTAACAGCTACAGGGTCTGGCTTGATTGGACCAGAGCTCACCATTGTCCTGAACAAGGCCCTCCGTAGTGACTTGTAGCTGAATACCATAGGCACTGGGCTGGTGGGGAACAAGAGAGTGCAGTTGTACTACATCCGGAAGCTTGCTAAGGTGACAGGCTCACCTCTCCTGCTGGGACGGTGTAGTAGGGGCAGTGGGAGGTGGGAGAGAACTCTGCTGTCCCTCCGGCCACCAGACCCGCCACCTTCTCCTGGTCGTATATCCAGTGCAGCGGTGTTACTGCAGAGGGGAGGGGAGTCAGCCATAGCTCACGGGGGAGCCAATTACAGAGCGGCATACCGGCTGTGTCGGCGACTAGGGCTCCCAGCAGACACGCTGCTCGTCGCTGCTGCACCTCTGAGAGCTGCCGGAGCCGTGCAAGAGACATTCTCAATGCTACACCCGACCCAGACCACCCTTTTCTAATGCGCATGCGCGAATGCTTTTAGGCTGCAAGGCTAATAGGCAGACCCCATTCTGCGTTATTTGCCAGCCAGGTTTGCTTGCATGCGCTATACAAACAGCCCAGTTCTTTAAATCTCATTAAAAAATCAGCATCTGTGAAAATTGTGAAGAGTCAAGTGTAGGCGTTGCCGTGGTAGTGGAGGAAGTTGGCGGGAACGTAGCCAGCGGAGTCCCCACAGTCCACCAGCCACCATTCCCTGGAGCCCACTCTGTCGTGGGGACACCTGAGGATGACCTCTTGACCTGCGGCCACAGTCAACTCTGCCCTGTCCTGGGCCTCGAAGTCATACATGACCGTCAGAGACGAGCCGACCTCAGGGGGTGGAGGGGGTTCTGAGGGGTCCAGCGGCTCCTGGGAGGAGGGAGGAAGAGGAGGAGAAGGAGGTATATATAAGCTGCTGCAGAAAAATAGGGACTCTATTTTCACACACATTTTGGTGAATGCAGAAAGTGATCGTAGCTTTTTGGTCAAACAGTAAGTAGAGTAAAAAAATGGACGGTGGGGAGTATTTTCACATGTCTGCAAGAAATAATTATTCTTATTGGGATAATATGCATCAGCAATTGAAAAGGCATAGTTTTTGTAGGGAAGAAGACTCTGCGAGTGTCGCGTGAGAGGAGAAGTGACCAAACCTCAGATATACTGGAGTCCATGTCCACCTCACTGCTGGTGGAGAGGATGGAGTCCTCTCTATCTCCCTCACCCGGAGGGCCACTGCTCTCAGAGACTCTTCGGTGACCACTCCTGATGGCAGTCGGCAGACTCATCGTCAGGGATGCCGGGACGATGGAGAGAGAGATGAGTTGACCTCCGACCTCTGACAGAGCCTCGCTGTGGGCAGCTTGTATAGTTTCAGACGACGAGAGGGGCAGAGATCGGTTCCTCGGAGTGTACTGCTCGGCCAGCTGGTGCAGGGCTGCGTGTACAGCCGTATGGAACCGGAACTGAAGTTGGAACAAAACAGTGACCGTGTGGTCGATGATGCTCTGGACCAGCTGATTGAAACGAGGCAACTCCTCAATTAACTGCTGGTTGAGAGCTTCGTAGTTTCGTTTGGCCATTGTGCAGGCATCTCGCAGTTGCTTGATCTTCTCTGGATCTTCAGCTGATGGGAGGGAGGGGAGGAGGGAGGAGAGAGAGAGGGGGGCATGTCACATAGACAAAATTGTGCTATTTTCTATGCACATATTGTGGGCAGGGACACTTCATCTTTTAGGCAGTGAATCGAGTGTTTCCTTCTCTAAAGTTATGAGAGAGAGCAGTTTTGAAGAAATTTCATGGAAACTGGAGGAAGGAAGGAGGAGGGAGGAGGGAGGAGGGAGGAGAGAGAGAGTGGTCGCACTGACTGTGGTGGTCCAAGGCATACTGGAGGTGGTCGAAGTCCAGGAGCTTGTCTCGTCTTTTGCTGATGAGGTGGAGAGGATCCTGGAACAGGGACAGGAGAGACTGGAATGGAACCAGGACGTGGGCTGTGATGGAGGTGCCCTGGAGGATGATGGGATTATTAATTTTACCAAAGAGGTAGAGGAGAAACGAGTTACGTTTTAGCATTCAGGTTACCTGTGTCTTGGTGCACGTGTGAAGTGATGGTTATAGCGGTTACCACTATTCTGACACCGTTCTGCTAATGAGGGCAGCTAATGCTTACCTACAAGTATAACTAAACCAGATATACATGTATGTACTAGTGTGAGTGCAGCAAGTACAACTAAACCAGATATACAAGACTCTTTAACCTACCGCCCCGGTTCTCAAGGCTGGGCACCCAGGGTCCTGCCTCTTTCTTTCTGTTTATATGTTATTGTCTGTGTTTTTGTACGCTTGGGTATGTTATTGTCTGTGTTTTGTGTGCTTGGGTGGGGGAGGTTCTTTCTTTTCCTCTGAGCTAGTATGCTATAAACATGTTTTTTCATGTACTAGCGTGAGGGCAGCAAGTACAACTAAACCAGATATACATGTACTAGCGTGAGGGCAGCAAGTACAACTAAACCAGATATACATGTACTAGCGTGAGGGCAGCAAGTACAACTAAACCAGATATACATGTACTAGCGTGAGGGCAGCAAGTACAACTAAACCAGATATACATGTACTAGTGTGAGGGCAGCAAGTACAACTAAACCAGATATACATGTATGTACTAGTGTGAGGGCAGCAAGTACAACTAAACCAGATATACATGTATGTACTAGTGTGAGGGCAGCAAGTACAACTAAACCAGATATACATGTATGTACTAGTGTGAGGGCAGCAAGTACAACTAAACCAGATATACATGTATGTACTAGTGTGAGTGCAGCAAGTACAACTAAACCAGATATACATGTACTAGTGTGAGTGCAGCAAGTACAACTAAACCAGATATACATGTATGTACTAGTGTGAGGGCAGCAAGTACAACTAAACCAGATATACATGTATGTACTAGTGTGAGTGCAGCAAGTACAACTAAACCAGATATACATGTACTAGTGTGAGTGCAGCAAGTACAACTAAACCAGATATACATGTATGTACTAGTGTGAGTGCAGCAAGTACAACTAAACCAGATATACATGTACCTGTGTGTGCTCGGTGCAGAGAATTTCATGCTGCATGCTAACCCTACGGTAGGCTAGATAGAGTCTTCTTCCATGTTCTCTGAGGGCAACAAGTACTCTACAGAGCTTTTGCTCATGGTATCACATGCATATCACATGGTATAACATGCATATCACATGGTATCACATGCATATCACATGGTATCACATGCATTATCACATGAGAAGAAAGAGTGGGGATTCAAACTGTTGGGCGGAGCTTAAAATGGTCATTTTGAACCCTTAATGTTGTCGCTAAAAACAAGGTTTAACAGGCAAACCACTCGAAGTACTGACGTGTGTCTTGACGGCTCCCTGCAGCTCTCCCAGACTCCGCTGGTAGCAGGTCAAAGGTCGGAGGTCAGAGGGTACATACAGCAACATTCCCTCCCCCAAGACCTCCTGACTGTCCACCGCTTTCTGCAGGAGAGGAGAAAGGGGTGTGGCTCTGGGGTCAAGGTACGTATCCTACGTATAGTGAATAAGGGACACCTTGGCGACATGAAGTGTCCCATATTCAGAGGTGTCGCTATCTCGGAGGTATAATTATACCTGATTGGCGATTGAAGCAAGTCTACCTACAGTCTGAATGCCTGCACACACATGTTTTACATGATTCCAAATATGGATGCAGTGCTCACGAAAAATGCGTTGCATTTGTTCTGTATTAGTATGGGGCAGAATAGGTGTCGTTTATAGAGTTATTCAGAGGGTGCTTTTTACTCTATGTATGTGTGTGTACCTGTAGGTCCTCTTGCCAGGTAGTGATGTTGCGTATCAGTTGCCGTAGAAACGTCTCAAGTGACATCATTTTCTGTTCAAGTTCCTCAAACTCGGGATCCACAGTCTGCACAGGGAGCACCCCTCACATCATCACACCCACCCACACACCCGAGATGGAACTGACCTTTGACCTGAGGCCGGTGAGCTGGGTGAGCGTCTGTTGGAATCGGCGGACCTTCTTCTGAAGAGAGTGTACAGAGACAGTTCCCCTCCTCTCCTCCTTCCCAGGCCCCGTGTACCTCTCCACTGGTGAGGAGAGAGGGGGAGAAGGGAGTATATATCCTTACACATACCTAGTCCAGCATCTGTTGTGGCATGCTGCATGGCAAGGATAGAATCAATTTCTATTTTCGACGCCTAGTGCAACGGGGCATTGCGATGTATTGTTAACCTAGCCCGAGATTCATGTTATACGAGATACTTATAAAGTACTATCTTGTACCTGAAGAATGTAATTGTGTTCAATTGACATGTATATTATAGTAACAGGCACATATGCCGGCTGTCAGGTCAGAGAGCTATTATTAGTCACACCCACTTTTCTTCCATTTGCATAATGAGCTACTTCTGTAAGCACAACCTGCTGTAAAAGCGCAAAAGCGTAAGGTAGTAAATATAGTGTTTTGATGATGCAAAATCACCACAAGAATCCAAATGGATTTCCAGCTACTACTTCTCTATTATCTACTATGAGGAGTTGTGTGTGTGAAACGTGTGTGTTTGTGCGCCCTCCATTCCATTGGTGGATTAGTGAAGAGGCATTCACAAGGGATGGCGATGGCGTAATAAGGAGAGAGTGAGAGGTGAGTGTTATTCCAGGAGAGAGGCAACAAACTAATGTCTTGGTCCACCAGCCAACCTACCTGCCCCCCTGGTACATACATACATACCACTTCCAATATCCTTATTACCTCACCTCCACTACTGATGATTATGAAAAGCACTGAAGTGCAAACCCTCGGCGAACTGCGCATAGGCGGTACTGCTAATGGACGGACCCGCAGTCTCCCGCTAGTAGCTCACGGAGAGTCTGTCACGGGCTAGCTACGGTAGTAGATAGCATGCGGGAGTCGATACACGCCCTTCGCTGTGGTTTCTTGTGCCTCCAAGGCACACAGAGCAAGCGGATCAGGTCGGGGTGAGCCAGCATACCGCGTTGATCGCGTCTAATATACGCATGCGCACCGCTTATTGATGGGTTGGGCCACGGAACACGGTCCGCGACGGTGCCAGTTTGTCGCTCTCGAACGCAGTCGTTTCAGGAAAAACCGTTCGATTAAACTGATTCTTATTACCCGTTTATTACGTCGTATCGTTTGTGGGACGAATAAACCATCGAGAAGTGAGTTGGAGCATGGACAGACAAACAAACAGACAAACCCAACTACCGTAACCCTCGCTGCGCATGCGCGCCGAGGGTTAATAACCCCTACCCATCACCTACAATACCTACCCACTGATCTACTGTAGTCACCACAACGGCAACAGGCAACACAGGACAATGTTTTGCCCTAGGTGGACTACGTTTGCCCCAGGTGGACTACATTTGCCCCAGGTGGACTACATTTGCCCCAGGTGGACTACATTTGCCCCAGGTGGACTACATTTGCCCCAGGTGGACTACATTTTCCCCAGGTGGACTACGTTTGCCCCAGGTGGACTACATTTGCCCCAGGTGGACTACATTTGCCCCAGGTGGACTACATTTGCCCCAGGTGGACTATGTTTGCCCCTAGGTGGACTACGTTTTCCCCAGGTGGACTACATTTGCCCCAGGTGGACTACATTTGCCCCAGGTGGACTACATTTTTGCCCCAGGTGGACTACGTTTGCCCCAGGTGGACTACATTTGCCCCAGGTGGACTACATTTGCCCCAGGTGGACTACATTTGCCCCAGGTGGACTATGTTTGCCCTAGGTGGACTACGTTTTCCCCAGGTGGACTACATTTGCCCCAGGTGGACTACATTTGCCCCAGGTGGACTACATTTTTGCCCCAGGTGGACTACGTTTGCCCCAGGTGGACTACATTTGCCCCAGGTGGACTACATTTGCCCCAGGTGGACTACGTTTGCCCCAGGTGGACTACATTTGCCCCAGGTGGACTACATTTGCCCCAGGTGGACTATGTTTGCCCCAGGTGGACTACGTTTTCCCCAGGTGGACTACATTTGCCCCAGGTGGACTACATTTGCCCCAGGTGGACTACATTTTTGCCCCAGGTGGACTACGTTTGCCCTAGGTGGACTACATTTGCACAAGGCAAGAAAAAACATCAAATACTAAATGTCACGTGTGCTTGTGTGCATGTGTGTATCTCCCTGTGATCAACCACAGCACGAGAGGGAATTGGGCCATCACTAGAAACAACCAACTGTGGCAAGAGAACCACAGACTGGAGGGCCAGGGCTATGATTATTGGCTACACATGGCTCACGCGTCGCTAGAATTGTGGTATACACGAGTGTGTGAGTATATGGCTCCTACAACCTACATAACCTCACCAAGGTCCTTTAACCCTTTCCCCCCTCACCCTTCCCCCCCTCACCCAGGTCTTTAACCCTTTCCCCCCTCACCCAGGTCTTTAACCCTTTCCTCCTCACCAAGGTCCTTTAACCCCCTTTCCCCCCTCACCAAGATCCTTCCGTCTCTTGATTTCGTTGATATCCTGAGCTACTTGACCTACGACCTGTCTGGCCCGGTGGACTGGCTTGTAGTCCGGGTGACCATCTCCTGTCGTCTGAACCAGTTTGCCCAGTAATAGCGGGTATTTGAGAACCCGCTGAACCGGTTTGATGAGCAGAGACTGCAGATCCCACGCCTGTGTCACTGCCCTGGAGGGGAAGTTACAAAAGCGCATAAGGGCTGGCACAGGAGAACGGTTTTCAAAGGAAGTGTTTAATGCAAAGCATGTGTTATTAATGTTTTCTACTAGCCATGGCAATTAACACCAAAAGTGTATTATATAAAAGGTTGTATATACCGGATGGCGTCCAGCGAAGTCTTTATTATTTTTGTCAGCTCAGGGTTCTCAGAGTACTGTTATAACAGAGAGATAGAGAGAGAGAGGAGAAGAGGAGAAGAGGAGAAGAGGAGAAGAGGAGAAGAGGAGCGAAGAGGGAGAGGGAGGGAAGGAGGGGAGAGGGAGAGAGAGGGAGATAGGGATAAGGAGAAGTGAAGATCTTCCAGAGTAAACAAGGGGCTGCCCGCCCACTCAACTGCCACTCAATCCGCCACTGAGAGTCTGCCAGGATCATCAGGGCTCTCCACATGCAGACTCCCAGGCTCCACTCCTACTCCACTCCACTAGTAGTCTCAGAGAGATAATCTGATTGGTGGGTTAAACTTTACCAGAAGTGTCTGTGCCCATATAAGGCAGTATTAACTAGTATAAATCAGAGTGTGGGTAGAATGGAATCTGATTGGTCAGAATCCCCAGGAGCCAGGCTGCCGCCCACACTATCCTACTCCAGTCTGGAGGCTTTAGTTCCAAATGCTAATTATCTCTAATGAACGTTAGGAGCACCCACTTACCTTCTCCACTAACGAGGAGGCGGTGTCGTGGTTACGGCAGTAGGCAGCGTAGGTAGAGCGGAGTCTGGGACCAAATCTCACAAACACCTCTCCGACCTTCTCCTCTCCTGCACATGTCTCCCGCAGGGCCGCCAGCAGGTCATGTGACACACATGTGACCTCACCCAGGTTACCAAACAACAGCTCCGCATTCACATCACGTATCTACATGTACATATACCACACACGATAATGGGGTAATGGGGTAAACAAGTAACGGAGTAATGGGGTACGGGTGAAGAAAGGTTATTGGGAAAGTGGCGCACCCTCGGATATTGGATCAAGGCCTGTACTGGGCACAGTGGAGTGTCTGTATGCCCCAGAAACACCCCTGCCCCAAACAAGTCAAATGGAGCAGAGGTCCAACCAGCCATTAATGTCTGGCTTTGCACACGCACACACGAAACAGGTGGTATACTGATGTCCAACGTGCATATTAACGTTGCAGAGGCTCATTGCTGTGTGTCTAGATGAAATTAGATCTCCACAGCAAAAGAACAGAACATTGGGTCTGTAGACTTTCATCAGCTGAACTGAAACATGATAACAGCAACTTTAATACCTGGTCTATGGACCAAAACGTTCCGTTCTTGATGCTAATCAATTTCATTTCATTTTCCAGCATAACTGTACTGTAATTGCACGTCTGTACAACGTTTGTGCTAATAGCCACTGCTGGCACCACATTTGATTCTGGAAAGACAGGCAGTGTATATACCTCCTCCATGGCAGGGATGAGCTTCTCGCAGGTGATGTGCATCTGTGCGTGGTAGTCTGTCTCCGTGGTGACCAGTTCCTCAATGACCTTTGCCCTCTGCTGGCTGAGGGAGAGAGGTTTCGGAGGAGGGAGGTGTTGGTGAGGAGGGGAAGAAGGTCGGACGGGTGGGGGACTGGACTCACTCACAGTCTCCCGCTGACCTACACACACAGACAGAGAGAGTCACCGACGTGATGGTGATGATTAGCAGTTGCAAGAAAGAGAGACATTTGTTGGACAGAGACTACAAGTACGAGAGCCTATATACTTGTACAAGCTTTCTCGGCACAGTAATGGGGAAAGTTTAGGACGGAGGCTCCAAATGTGAGACTTTCTTATTCAACTTGCAGAAAACTTGTAAATGGTTTGAGAAACATTAATGTTGGACAGAGGCTTAAGTATGAGGATTTCTCATTGCTGCCTGTACCTGCACAAGCTTCCTCCCTGGCTAATGGGTTGAGGATTTTCATGTTTGGACATAAGGCTTCAAGCATGATTAGATGAAGAATGCCACCAGCATGCTACTGACATTGCACTATACACCAAAAATAATGCACTGAACTGAGGCTCCAGAACTAAGACTGAAAGCTCTTCTACTATTGTAATGTTTTAGCCAGAGTGAAGGGACACTCCAACAAGTTGAGGGGGCTAACCACGGCCAACTGTAAACCAGTGCCTCTAGTGATGTAAAACATGCTACTGTGTTCCTAATGCAGAGACAGTGATGTGTAGCTACTAAAGAAAGAAAGACTAATGAAGGAACCTATGCCAACTGCTAGAGGCAGGCAACCCTTCAAAAGAAAGTAAATGCAATTGTGTCCTGTTAGCGACCCCACTAAATGACATACCTTTCATTTCTGCCAGTTGCTGTCTGAGAGCTTGTACGTTGCTCTCGTGAGTTGAGATGGCTCCTCTTAGCTTCTCCCTCTTCACCTCGTCCTGCGTCACCTCCAGCAGGGTCCTGGCACTTACCAACAGCTTCTTCTCAATCTGCAGACAGGCGGACACAGGCCACAAGTGATCACAGTAGCGTTCAGTCATAGCAGGTCAACACAACAGAGAGGGTGGGGCTGGATCTGTTACTGCATGCTAATTGGCCATCTTACGGTGAGGCCAGCCTGCAGAGTGTTGATCTGTCTCTGAAAGTCAGTGAGGGAGTTATGTCTCCTGGGACGAGGTCTTGGTCGAGGACTGAGTCCGCTGGTATAACTCCGACTCAACTGTAGGTAAAGAAAACAACATGGACTATATTATACAATACAGTATCTGGAAATTGGAGAGAGACTTTCATATTTTGGTTTAAGTCTATGAAAGTTTTCTTTGTGAAATTCTGTAGGCGGAAAATTTATGGACCAGTAATCCACGAAAGTTGCAAACAAAATTTGCGTTTGCTACTAATTTTCTCGCTGTATGATACTGGAAGCTCCCTACAGGTGGTGAGGTGGGTCTCACCTGTCGTCTCCGTGGTGGAGGAGATGTTCCCGGGAGACGGGGAGAGATGGGAGGGGAGCGAGAGGGTGTCGTTCTCCCCTCCCCCTCCCCTGACAGGAGGACACTGGACGAGAGAGACCTACTCTTGTGTTTACTTCGCGGTGGGGGCACTGGCGTACCCTCCTCCTCCTCCTCCTCCTCCTCCTCTCTGTCGTCATCAGAGAACCCATTCTCGAACACTGCCTCTCCATCTTCCCTGACAACCTCCTCAGTCAAGTCCTGCTCCCTAGCCAACTCCCTTGACCCTTCAGAGCCTCTGACAGGGGCCTGGCCTGGCTCAGCGTACTCTGGAGAACGGCGAGGCTCGTCTCCAGGCGGCGAGCTCGAGGTCTTGCTGGCCGGCGGGGTTACGGGTAGCTTGACGATCTCCACGAAAGAAGCCGGGAAGATGCCTTCTCCTCTCCCCGTCTTTCCTTTCATCCACCCGCTGCCAGCCGAGCCCAGGAGCTCGATCAACTCTCCCTTGGCGAACGACAGGTCTCCCTGGCAGTCCCCCGAGAACTCGAACAGCCCGATGGCGTAGGGTCGCCCGGAGCTAGCGAGCGAGCTCTCCCGGGCCTTGGACGGCGTCCCTAGCTCGATCTCCACGTAGGACGCGGGGAATATGCCGACTCGACCCTCCAGCTCCCCCTCCAGCCAGTTATCGTCTATCCTCCGGAGCAGACGGACCGAGACTCCGGCGCTGAAGCTCAACTCCACGTCGCTCTTGGCCTGAAACTCGAACTTGGCCCGCGCGCACGGCATCAGTCGATCGCCTCCTCCGCCGCCGGCCATATCTGCGATTCCAGCGACACCACCACTCTCTCCGCTCACCGCGCAGCCCTCCGCGTTCGATGCTCTCCGTTCTAGGTACTCCCACTACTGCTGCACAAACAGGAATCATGACTGTAAACTAACTGCAGCGATTTGCCGGCCGACCACGCCCACCTACGACCTTCGACCCCCGTATCCTTGGCAACCGATATACAACAAAATGGCTTCCTCGAGGGTGTCTGCACACTTGCCTTTCTACGACTCGAGCAAGTCCAGCCTCGCCTACGGAGACAGGACCATCCCGAAGTTGGTGAGTGAGAGACTGTTTGGAGGTTTACTGAGCTTATTCTCGTGAACCAGACCGCATGTATTTCTCTTCCGTGGCACCGAGACTAGCTTCCTCTCTCTGTATACAACAGAATCGTGAATTACAGAGCGATGACGTAAGGGTGAGGCAGCAAGCTCTCCTGCTGTTGAATGACGTCATTCACCGTAGAGAGAATCTGGCTGCTGCTCTCAGAGAAGGTAGCTACATACACAATGGGAACCTCTGAATTCGAGACACCTTTGGGACCGTCCCATATAAGAAGTGTCCCTTGTTGGAGGTAATGCGAAACACCATGTGGGGAAGAACTAAGTGTCCCTCTCAGAGTGTCTGAGGTATCACTGTATTTCAGAATAAGGGGCACCTCTATGAACTTCCACCCACCTTTTACCTCTGACAACATTCATCCCATGTGTGTTCGTGCCATGTGTGCAAGTATGTACATTTGTTATCTCTCATTATCTAAGGGGTTACCTCGTTGCACTTGTGCAGGTATAGCTAAGACTCTGCAGGCGTTACTGGAGGACAGTGACTGGCTAGTGAGAGAGAGAACAGCAAATGCCCTCACCATTATTGCACGTACGTATGACCCTCATCCCTCACAGTATAGTTACCACCACTCACCATTATTGCACGTACGTATGACCCTCATCCCTCACAGTATAGTTACCACCACTCACCATTATTGCACGTACGTATGACCCTCATCCCTCACAGTATAGTTACCACCACTCACCATTATTGCACGTACGTATGACCCTCATCCCTCACAGTATAGTTACCACCACTCACCATTATTGCACGTACAGTAGTATGACCCTCATCCCTCACAGTATAGTTACCACCACTCACCATTATTGCACGTACAGTAGTATGACCCTCATCCCTCACAGTATAGTTACCACCACTCACCATTATTGCACGTACAGTAGTATGACCCTCATCCCTCACAGTATAGTTGCCACCACTCACCATTATTGCACGTACAGTAGTATGACCCTCATCCCTCACAGTATAGTTGCCACCACTCACCATTATTGCACGTACAGTAGTATGACCCTCATCCCTCACAGTATAGTTGCCACCACTCACCATTATTGCACGTACAGTAGTATGACCCTCATCCCTCACAGTATAGTTGCCACCACTCACCATTATTGCACGTACAGTAGTATGACCCTCATCCCTCACAGTATAGTTGCCACCACTCACCATTATTGCACGTACAGTAGTATGACCCTCATCCCTCACAGTTAGTTCCACCACTACCATTATTGCACGTACAGTAGTATGACCCTCATCCCTCACAGTATAGTTGCCACCACTCACCATTATTGCACGTACAGTAGTATGACCCTCATCCCTCACAGTATAGTTGCCACCACTCACCATTATTGCACGTACAGTAGTATGACCCTCATCCCTCACAGTATAGTTGCCACCACTCACCATTATTGCACGTACAGTAGTATGACCCTCATCCCTCACAGTATAGTTACCACCACTCACCATTATTGCACGTACAGTAGTATGACCCTCATCCCTCACAGTATAGTTACCACCACTCACCATTATTGCACGTACAGTAGTATGACCCTCATCCCTCACAGTATAGTTACCACCACTCACCATTATTGCACGTACAGTAGTATGACCCTCATCCCTCACAGTATAGTTACCACCACTCACCATTATTGCACGTACAGTAGTATGACCCTCATCCCTCACAGTATAGTTACCACCACTCACCATTATTGCACGTACAGTAGTATGACATATGTACATTAGAATATGTACCTACAGTACCTATAGTTGCCACCACTGCACCGCAAGTGTAATGTTATATGTTAACTGTCATGTGAAGAGACACAAATGTTCCAATTGGTATATAAAACTTCTGGCATAGTTCCAGCCTAAGTTTGTAGGTTCCATGATGATTGGTGTTTGAGAATGTAGAAAACATTAATGGAGATAGTTCATTGGCTCCTGCATTTTGACAGATTACCATATATAGCAAAGGATAAAAACCACCTATTTGACATGACATTCATGTGTATATTACAACATCAGCCATAGGAATCATTTTTGGTGTTAAAATTGTTATACAGTACTATCCAGTATCGGGCATAGGCAACTGCAACTCTACTGTATTTCTGCAGAGCATGCTCTCGGGAGGCAGTGTTTTCTGGAGCTGGGAATGTTGACCTCTCTCTCCAAACTGGTGAGGACAGACCTTAGGACCCTCTGAGATAGGGACGACCTCTCTACAAAGGACACTTGTTTCAACCCCATGCTAATACTTGACCTCTGAGATAAGGACGGCCTCTCTACAAGGGACAATAATCGTTGGCCCCATAGTGTCCTTTGTATGGAGGTTTACTATCTGCACCCATCAATGAGCAAGTGTGTTAAACTTGTACTACATCTGTTTATAGTAGGCTCAGCCCTATTCCCCCCTCAGTTCTCAGATGGAGAGGTGAAGGTTCGACTGAGTGTCCACTCAGCTCTAGAGATGTGTGCCAGGACTACTGTTGGTAGGTCCATCCATACACCCCTCTCCTCTCATTGCTAATTATCATGATAATTACCAGGGGCACAGGGTGTGGTGGATGCTGGACTGGTGGCTCTCTGTGTTGAGAAACTGGTGCAGGAGGACAGCACGGAGCTCAAGGTAGTCATGTATAGATGCAATTAGTCAGTCATCTCAACTTGAACCACGTACAATACATCTGAGGTTTCTGTCTGAGCCACTCACAAAGTGTTTTCAGCAACATGTTGTGTGGATTGTGAACCACGAACGTTGGACTACAATGTCATGTGAACATTCAATTATCCCTAGTCACTTTTTATCGCAATTATGGATGAGCAGAGAGATAATGTTCCGATTGGTATATAACACTCCCCCCCCTCCTCCCTCCCCTCCCTCCACAGGAGTTGTTGCTGGCCACCCTCCACTGGTGTTTCATGGTATCTCCGACCCAGGGTCTGGAGTGTGGAGCCATCTCCTCCACTGTCCCTCTCCTCACCCACCCCTCCCCCCTGGTCCGCGGCCGGACAGCCACCCTCCTCCACGACCTCACCACTCCGTACCAGGGTAAGGAGGAGGCCTGTGGCCACGGGGTGTGTGTAGAGGGACTGGTGAACCTCCTCTCTGACCGGGACTCCTTCGTCAGGGCTCAGACTGCTGCTGCTCTCATGAGGTTCAGACCAACACTCTCTCTTATCACACGTACACATCCTCTCTTGTGACTTGTGTATATACTCCGAAAACCACCTCCCGAATAAAGGACACCTCTCTTAGAGTGCACTTAGTTCTATATACCCCGATACTAGTCTAATAGTGTATTAAAATTACCGAATAACTGAATAAAGGACACCTCTCTTAGAGTGTACTTAGTTCTACACCGATACTAGTCTAATAGAAATTACCGAATAAGGGACCCCTCTGAATAAGGGACACTTTCAACGTCCCCAAGGCTTTACTGTAAACTTCTCTCTCACTATCTTCTACTCTTGTAAACACCCTATGTACAGTAGACGACTTCTTCACAAGTTGTTTCCAGTGACTGGTTGCATTTGACATAAAACTCGTGCAATTTTTTGGTGGTTTCAATGTAGTATAGAAACAAAATACTGGTCCTATTTTCAGCATATCAGTGATCACCAAAGGCAAGTATGCAGTACTAGAGGCTGGAGCCTTACCCCACCTGGTGGCCTTGTTCACTGACCCCTCATCTGAAGTGAGGACCAATGCCGTGAAGGTGCGTTTGTATCACTCACTATCCACGGCCCTTCACTTTCACCATCTCTGTGTTTACTATATACCATTGTATACGATGTGGCGACTCATACTGGGAGTGTAGACGGTGACCATGCTAGCTGAGACTCCCAGAGGAAAACAGCAACTACAGTCTGTAGTCTCACAGGTATACAACCTCTGTCTTTGAACATCATACAACACTAATGCACGTATTGAGTGAGTTACACTATGATTGGATAAACATAACACGTGGTTTGTTAGCCCTTGGTACACAGGGTTACAGCAGTACATACTCGGTTGGTGGCTGGCTGTGTGTGTCTGTCAGCTATTACGCAATGTGATACAATCATGCACTCCTTTACCGAGACCTTTGCACCTGTACCTATTATGTCGGCATGTTTGTATGTACATATAGTATGGTATAGGTAACTAATGAGCTTGCTCTCTGGCTGTAGAGCTTTCACACCTCATTAACCCTCGGCGCACATGCGCAGCGAGGGTTACAGTACTGGTTCCATGAGTATGTCTGTTACCACGGTTTCTGCCACCACGCGCAGTAAGACAACAAAATAGCGATACCAACAGGTTCATTTCTATATACTCTGGCTTGATTTAAAAGATGGCGATTTTTGGATCAGATGCACACTGCTTGCTCTGTCCTCACCTACGGAATTCTTAGCCTAGATGTTACCTGAAGTCAAAGAGCTGGCAGACTAAAGCTATGTAATTCACCAACACATTTCAAGGCCAAACATTATTGTATCTCACATAACTCTAGTCTACCACCTACTGTGTTGTGTGGATGTATGTTCAGAGAACCTGGCCTTGTTCCCTACTGTGTTGTGTGGATGCATGTTCAGAGAGCCTGGCCTTGTTCCCTACTGTGTTGTGTGGATGCATGTTCAGAGAGCCTGGCCTTGTTCCCTACTGTGTTGTGTGGATGCATGTTCAGAGAGCCTGGCCTTGTTCCCTACTGTGTTGTGTGGATGTATGTTCAGAGAGCCTGGCCTTGTTCCCTACTGTGTTGTGTGGATGTATGTTCAGAGAGCCTGGCCTTGTTCCCTACTGTGTTGTGTGGATGTATGTTCAGAGAGCCTGGCCTTGTTCCCTACTGTGTTGTGTGGATGTATGTTCAGAGAGCCTGGCCTTGTTCCCTACTGTGTTGTGTGGATGTATGTTCAGAGAGCCTGGCCTTGTTCCCTACTGTGTTGTGTGGATGTATGTTCAGAGAGCCTGGCCTTGTTCCCTACTGTGTTGTGTGGATGTATGTTCAGAGAGCCTGGCCTTGTTCCCTACTGTGTTGTGTGGATGCATGTTCAGAGAGCCTGGCCTTGTTCCCTACTGTGTTGTGTGGATGTATGTTCAGAGAGCCTGGCCTTGTTCCCTACTGTGTTGTGTGGATGTATGTTCAGAGAGCCTGGCCTTGTTCCCTACTGTGTTGTGTGGATGTATGTTCAGAGAGCCTGGCCTTGTTCCCTACTGTGTTGTGTGGATGTATGTTCAGAGAGCCTGGCCTTGTTCCCTACTGTGTTGTGTGGATGCATGTTCAGAGAGCCTGGCCTTGTTCCCTACTGTGTTGTGTGGATGTATGTTCAGAGAGCCTGGCCTTGTTCCCTACTGTGTTGTGTGGATGTATGTTCAGAGAGCCTGGCCTTGTTCCCTACTGTGTTGTGTGGATGTATGTTCAGAGAGCCTGGCCTTGTTCCCTACTGTGTTGTGTGGATGTATGTTCAGAGAGCCTGGCCTTGTTCCCTACTGTGTTGTGTGGATGTATGTTCAGAGAGCCTGGCCTTGTTCCCTACTGTGTTGTGTGGATGTATGTTCAGAGAGCCTGGCCTTGTTCCCTACTGTGTTGTGTGGATGTATGTTCAGAGAGCCTGGCCTTGTTCCCTACTGTGTTGTGTGGATGTATGTTCAGAGAGCCTGGCCTTGTTCCCTACTGTGTTGTGTGGATGCATGTTCAGAGAGCCTGGCCTTGTTCCCTACTGTGTTGTGTGGATGTATGTTCAGAGAGCCTGGCCTTGTTCCCTACTGTGTTGTGTGGATGTATGTTCAGAGAGCCTGGCCTTGTTCCCTACTGTGTTGTGTGGATGTATGTTCAGAGAGCCTGGCCTTGTTCCCTACTGTGTTGTGTGGATGTATGTTCAGAGAGCCTGGCCTTGTTCCCTACTGTGTTGTGTGGATGTATGTTCAGAGAGCCTGGCCTTGTTCCCTACTGTGTTGTGTGGATGTATGTTCAGAGAACCTGGCCTGTTCCCAGTGGGTCCACTTCCTTGGTCCTTAGCATTGGGGTAACTCTGACTCTCTATCTGGCTGGGTGTTTTGTGTGTACTTCCCTGACCTTTAGTCTCCAGTGGAGGATTGGGGAATGACTGACTTGGTTATATCTGGCTACTGTGGTATATAGAAACAGGGACACTCCCCGTCTGAAAAGCAAACGGAGTGATGTGTGGTAGAATATGTACACCTGGGAACAAGGCTATAGTAGAGCATGAGTGTTGTGACAGTGTTGAATGCTGTGTTGTGTAGTTGGAGGAGATGGCAGGAGGAGGAGAGAGAGGAGAGACAGAGACAAAGACCATCAACACTGCACGAACAGTCATTACATGGACTCCCTAACTATCACCATATCTGTGTGATATAATATACGGTATGAGTAAAGAAGTGAAGGCGCTACCTCACTGCTAATGGCACGACGACGCCTTGGTAGTAGTCTGGCGTGGCCCTTGAGCATCAGCATAGAGTGCGAGGGTCTGGCATCAAGGTTGACCGGTATTTGTACCAATGATGTAATGTTGTTTTCATTTTGTGACGTAAATTTACAAAGACGAGTGAGTAGGCATTGTGCTAATAAGGGGGCGGAGCATAAAACGTGACATTCTGCAATCTGATTGGGCTGCAAAAATCCTGCAGTAGGCTACAAATCGCTTGACACCAGACCCTCGTCCTCGTGGGTGTGGCTATGCAGACCACCACCAGAGCCACAACATGCTACCTTTCAGGTGTTGGTATATATATACATTGATGTCTTGCAACTCGCACACGAGAATCAACTCTCATCTAGAACATTAGCACACGGTATGGAGATATATTAGTATGTATGTGTATGTCATAAAGTTCAGCTGGCTCTCGGACCTGTTGCCCTCAAGTTTGAAGTACATACAGTATGCGGTATTACGGAGAAATAAACTAGCTACTCTGTGTGTGTTATAATAGTCAGGAATGTAATCACAAATGAGCAAAATTGATATCTATGTCAACACACACACAGCAAATGGACTAACATTACATTAGAGGGTGGAGCTAATGATCGATGCAACATCATTTGAGGGTGTGCCTACGTGATTGATGCATAGCCCTCTACTGGCTACAGTTATACTAAGTGTCTATGTACAGTGAGAGATGATTGGTTTGGGTGGGTTGGTGGTCTAGGTGGTGGTGAGGGTGCCAGCTCCCATGCCAAACCCCACTCCCTTTGGTCCAAACTCCTTCCCATAGCAGGCTGGAGAGGAAGAGACAAGAATGTCACACCACCCACCCTCCACCCTCCACACACCACGTATACCCCACTAGTCTGCCTCACTACAACGGACACCCCTGAAACTAGGACAACTCTCTAATAAGTAGGGACACTCCTCTACAATAAGGAAACTGCTAAAATGAGGACTTTCACATTTCAGAGGACACCTCACAAATATGGACACTTTCTCCTCTCCCATTGGTGTCCAGATTAGAGGTGTTCCATTGGTTCTCGTCTTTCTTTTTGGAAAAAAAACTTTCCAGAAGTCAAGACTTTTTCGTGAGGGAGACAATTGTTTTGGCCAAAAGTCTTGTGCTCAAAGATACTCAAAAACCACCCACTGTATACATAATGGTATAATAAAGGACTAACATTTGCAGTAGATCTGTCCTTCCTTGTCGCAGACAGTAGTGGAGTCCAACTTCTTGTTGCAAATGGAGCAGTTGAAGCAGCGGATGTGCCAGCTCTGGAGAGAGAGAGAGGAATGAAGCAGACACACTTGGACCAGAAGTAACATCCATGCACACACATTAAAACAAATTGCGTAGTCCTTCCACTGGGTTGATGCATAGCCAGCGCTGTTTTCACGTGCAACCTTCGCACACAAAGCAAGGCAAACCGGTGAAATTTTACATACTTGCTGACTATTTATTACATTTTATTCGGAGGTTACACATTTAGCACTGGATCAAAAAGGTGTGGAGGTGTTGTGAAAAAGCTGGAGGTTACAATGGCTATATACAGCGGAGTCTTACGCTGCCGGCTCCAACAATCTTCTCGGCCATGAAGACAGCTCCTCCACACTTGGGACACCTTTCAGAGCTGCCAAACTTCCCTCCTCCTCCTCCTCCCCCTGCCCCTCCCGTCTTCCCATAGCTGGTCCCTCCTCCTGTGCCTGTGGTGGGGAGGTGAGGTGAGGTATACTGTGAGAGTGAGGAGAGGGGTGCTGTGACAGTGGGGAGGGTGTGATTGTGACAGTGGGACGGGTGTGATTGTGTCAGTGGGGAGTGTGTGATGAGGGGAAAAGTGTGGAGGGTATGATTGAACGTGGAGAGAAAGGATATTGTGACAGTGGGAAGGGTGTGATTGTGGAATACAATGGGGTGTTGTGACATGATGACGTGTGGATGTGTGTGTGTGGACTGTGGAGACAGAGCCAAATACCAATCCCAGACTGCCACTAACATTGCCAAAAGATGGCTGGCCAAATAAGGGCATTTCCACTCCTTAGTTCATGTAAGGCTATTGGACGACTCCAGCCATAGGAATGTAGTATTGTCTATGTAGAGCCATAGGAATGTAGCCATAGGAATGTATGGTACACCAGTGGAGATACGCAGGAATTAAAGACGGCAACCTTTCCCTCTCTTCCTCTGTCAGTGTCTGTTTGTCTGTTTATTCCCCCTCACTCTGGTTCATGGTATGCACCCTATACATCTATGCCTCTTGTAACTCGCTGCTGCTGGATGTATATGGTAAGGCGGGTAATTCGGAATACGCTGGCAGTTTTGTCCACAAAACAAGCCACGGCAAGGATCTGACAAAGGCTCATACCCTTGTCTACATGTGGTAACAGTGACGACTGATTTTAGCCAAGACCGGCCGCCGAGTATAACGTATTCCACATTACCTGCCCTTACCTTAATAGAGCCTCCAATCACAGTACATACCCCCTGTTCCACCATACCCTTATCAGTGTACAATATTACGTATAATGTACCACTGGAGCCTCCATCAGTGGCCAGAGTGCCAGCTCCTGATCCGTAGCCATAGCCCTTGATTCCACACTTGCGGTTGTAACAGGTCGGGCAGTAGAGGTGGCCGTCGTGGTCCCTCAGAGTAGTACTGCAGTTGAGAACAAAGAGAGGGAGAGTGAGGAGAGAGGGAGAGGAATGAATCGTCCCGGTCCTTCGTCTCTCGTGTGTTCTACCCACTCACGGACCTAGCTAGATATACGTCTCATACGGTGGAGAGTGTCGTGCGTGCATATACCTGTCCAGTAGTTTGCTGCATTCGCCACATTTGCAGCACATCTTGTGCCATTTCTGCCCGGCGGCCAGGACCTCCTCCGCCATATACACCGTCTTCCCGCACTTGGGACACTTGTTCCCTCCACCAAGAGGCATGATGATAACACACTCTCGAGTTTACAACTACGCTCGAAAACCGACTACTGCCGCTGTGAATGTAACTTCGAGAGCTGTGCGGTTATAATGCGTAGGCGCTAGGCTGATCCCATCCGGTCCACGCCCGGCCCTCATATTATATCCCACACCCCCGCCCCCCGGCCCCCCCGGCCGGCCCCAGACCCGCGCCTCCGCCCACTTACCGTATGCGCATGCGCGGATGTCTCGCGCGCGCATGGCATGCCCACTTTGTTGTGAAACAAATGGCGTCTGCTGCAGCATCTCTACGAGCGTTGCTCCCCGTCCTCCGCCGAGCTGGAAGTAAGCATTATCCACACCTCTACTACAGTAACATCTCTTAATAGGGGACATCTTGTTGGTATCGGAAGCGTTCCTTGTACAGGGGTAGTTTATAGAGAGGTGTCCTTTGTTGGAGATTATCTCATTTCTATATGTCAGCAGGTGTTGTGAGGTGCAGACAGCTGTCCACGGGGAGGGTGGCCATGGGTGAGGGGCTCGCGGTCTCTGACTATGACTATGGGACTCTGGCAGTGTCCCAGCCGCGACAGTGGGTGGTGGAGGTGAGACTGAACCGTCCAGAGAAGAGGAACGCCATGAACCAGGCCTTCTGGAGGTCCGTGTGTGTGTGTGTGTCTTATTGCCCCTCTTATGTAATAGTTTATAAGTCTGACGCCAAGTACACTTGTACAACCTATCTCTTAGTACACAAGTAACAAGGGCACAAGTATGCATGCCTTTTGAAGATTTATGAAGACTTACTTGCAAGGAACAACATTTTCTCTCTGTCAGATTTCCTTGTTCTAATGAGATCTTCCGTAAGTGTATGTCATATGTAATATGACTTCCTGCCCTCCTCTCATTGTATACTGTACAGAGAAATGGTGGACTGTTTCCAGAGGTTGTCTGAGGACAGCTCATGCAGAGTTGTGGTTCTGACCGGAGAGGGGCAGTCCTTCACTTCAGGTGCAGTAGATACCTCATTGCTACATTGCTCCCACAACCACACAGTCAGTAAATAAGGGCTGGATTTTACAGAAGATAGCAATACAGTAGGGCCCGGTGGAATGCCGTTTTTAGTAACAGTTTAGTCCTGTATACTGCCACATCCCTTCAACACCAACATAATATAAATTTCTGTATCGCATGTTGGCGAGCAGCATGCGAGGAAGGTGTGTGCTGTAATGTCTGTGTAACAGTGTAGCATTCCCCACAGCCTGCTGTTTGTATTCACAGCCATGATAGTCAGAGGATAAATACTAGCAACGAGAGGCTGCTAAAGGTGTTGCTACTGGATTGTAGTTCTTGTGCATGCACAATAACTATGGGACTGTGTCTTAGTGGCTGATAAATTTAGCTTCTTTATGCAATCGCCATGTTTGTTGCTAGCAGGGTGTTGACCACATGGCAACACACTTTCCTCCATTTGTGTCCTTATTGATATGTGCCACAGTTAATATTGTACCTCCCTCTCCCCCTCCTCCCCGAATGAAGGGTTGGATCTGGTGGATTTTGCCCCCATGTTCACTCAGTTCCAGACGACTGCGGGCGGCGACATAGCTCGCAGAACCCTCCTTGTCCGTCGTCTCATCCAGCCCATGCAGGACACCTTCTCCGCCATTGAGAAGGTACACGTCTCCACCTCTCTGGGTCCTGGCACAGTTTCCCTCCGTGGATACTAGTGTGCTTTGATCAGGTATTACTAATTTTACATAATAGAGTAAATCCACGTGAACAGTTATGGTGTGGAAACCAACTAAATAAGTCTACATGATTGCTCCACCACTGTCAGTGGCAGTTCCAATGTTCCGGCACCGTCCACGGAACGCTGGCAATAAGTGACCAGACGTTGCCTTCCCCCACAGAGCGTCTGGCCACACAAGACTATGTTGACATCACCTTACTATGGTTGGTGGTGAGGTAATGCAGCACCCGAGGTCTTGAGGAGGAATTCTTCCACTGTCTCTTTTCCCGTTGTGTTTGCATTGCATATTAATGACATAAATGGAACCAAATCAAACGCATAAGTATATTTTAGATCTATTAACTTTACACCTGTATGAAGTGGTTACTTACACCGTATGCCCCTGCCCCCGTTCAGTGTATGAAGCCAGTGATTGCCTGCGTCCACTCGGCCTGTGTGGGAGGCGGTGTCGACATGATCACAGCCTGCGACATTCGACTCTGTTCTCGTGACGCCTGGTTCCAGGTCAAGGTAGGCCGACCCCTGTCCTCCCTCACTGATACATCATTATTAACCCTCGGCGTGCATGCACAGCGAGGGTTACGGTACTTGGTTCGTGAGTGTGTGTGTGTGTGTGTCTGTCCGTTCGTCTGTTACCATGTTTTCTGTGACTACGCGCAACGAAATAGCGACACGAACAGGTTCATCGCTACACTGGCCTCATTTTTAAAAAGGCGATTTTGATATAACTTCTGCGTTCAAAAGTTATGGCCTGAAAGGCAAGTGAACAAGCCAATATGCAAATTAGCACAGGCTTACCTCGACCAGGTCCGCTTGCTCTGCAGGCACAAGAAGTCACAACGAAGGGCGTGTATCGACTCTCGCATGCTATCTACTACTGTAGCTAGCCCGTGTCAGACTCTCTGTGAGCTACTAGCGGGATACCACGAGTAAACGCATAAAAATAGCCCAGCCCATCAATTAGCAGTATTGGGCATGCGCAGTTCGCCGAGGGTTTGAACTTAGTGCTTTTCATTTTCATCAGTGGGTCAGTGCACGTGCTGCTTTGCTGAAATATCACCCATATGTGACAATTTGCGTTTCTTTGCCCGGGATACTGCATATGCACGTTCATTTGCACCAAGAGTTTGTAATTTTATAACAACATCATTCAAAAATCAGTTACACTCTCACTATTTCAAACTAAAAATGTGACAGAGTCTAGCAGGAGTTATTCACTGTACATATATCTCTACGTCTTCAATATACACGTCTTCATCTGCCCTGTTCTGGTCTGTACACACCCTGAACTCAATGTCGTCAGTAGTAGGTTGAGGCAGATCCTTACAGAACCAGTTGGCTTTCTCACAGCACTACGTGGCACCAGCCAGACAACCCACTCCGTCCCAGAGTACATCAGCACTACTGTACGTGTTAGTAGAAGCACTAATATCACAGAAATAATCCGTCCCTACGTATGATGGGACAGTAACACTGGGATTGGTGCCACAAGGACATAAAACCAAGAATGATGTGGCTGCCAGAGTCCAGATGTGCTGTCGAGGACTGCCACGAGTGATGCTTACACCATCAACGTATCGTTGGTCTATGGTGCTGAGAGCCGCACGGGAGAATCCATCAGGGGAGTGTCTTTCTGGTATCCGTACACCAGTCCACAGACTTTGGAGTAGCTGACTCCATTGGTGGGGAAGGTTACTGAACTGCAGCCAATGTCCACCGTCTTCCTGCACAGTTTCCTACCACCGGCAGTCAGTTGCTCCAGTCCTGCTGGACAGCCACTGTCAGAGGTAATGTTTACAACCTGCATCCAGCCTCGAGACTGGCTGGGCGGGATTCCATGGTCACAGCGAGCCAGGAATACAGTGTCTCCATTAGTGAGCCAGTGGAGGCCGGATCGACAGTCCCCCAGTCTGGTGTCAGCAACCTCCTTGCAGGAGGAGGTGGGACAGAGGGGAATGTCCCCAAGGTGTAGCTGGCACAGGATTCCCTGCAGCGAGGGGATGCTGCCATAGAAGTCTGCCTGACTTGAGGCAGAGGCTGCGGCCACCGCCACCAGCAAGAGAAGATACTTCCTTTTCAGGCTCTTTCTTTGACCTCTCAGTTGCTGGTCTGATGCTTTTGACAAGGCAGAGAGATGGCTCTCATTTTATACTCTCTAGCATGAAGCTGTTGCATCCAGATAAACCCTTCATAATTATGATAGTGTTCAATGAGGAGATCACGTAAAGTTCATAATATTCATAACCCCCGGGACCTTCTGATTACATAACTGTGGAGACCACTATAATACTCACCTAAAGTTCAGTAAATGTCCTGTGCGTAACCCCAGAGACCTTTATGATTGCGTACAAATGAGACAACTTTTAGAGTTCACACTTATTCTAAATGACCTTCAATACTAGTCTATAGTACTGATCCACTAGGAAGACCACTGCTTCTTCTTATGACATAGATTCCACCCTATAGTGAAGTGGATTGTTACAGAACTATATAGTTGCCCTGTTAGAGTATTGCTCATCAGTGATGTCTGTTTTGTATGGGAGTTGTAGCTGGTCTATGTGTACATGTTCGTACTGCATGACATTGCAAGAGGTAATGTGTGCATGACATTGGCTCCAGGTATGTGTATGCAGATAGGCAATGACTACTGATAGCAAAAGGAGAAAACCAATAAGTTTTAAACCTCGACCGGGCCGCTTGCTCTGTGTATCTTGAAGGCATAGGCATAAGAAGTCACAACGAAGGGCGTGTATCGACTCCCGCATGCTATCTACTACTGTAGCTAGTCCGTGTCAGACTCTCCGCGAGCTACTAGCGTGGATACCACGAGTATACGCATACTAAAAGCCCAGCCCATCAATTAGTGGTACCGCGCGTGCTCAGTTCGCCGAGGGTTTGCACTTCAGTGCTTTTCTATCATTGATTGGAGTATTACAAACTACAGTGGAACCTCTGATAAGGGACCCTCTGGGATAGGGACAACCTCTCTACAATTTTAATGTATTGTCCGAGATAGGGACGACCTCTCTACAAAGGACACTTGTTTCAACCTCATGCTAATACTTTAGTGTATTATTTGACCTCCGAGATAGAGACGACCTCTCTACAAGGGACAAAATCGTTGGCCCCATAGTGTCCCTTGTTTTGGGGTTCCACTGTATATCAATGTACTGGTGTGTGTCCTCCTATGTGGTGGCAGGAG